AATAAATAATTTAAGACAAAACGTGTTATTATTAAATTAAAATTTCGGATATGAAATGTTTCACAAAATTATTCGATCAAATATTTGAGATATAAAATAGCTCAACAGCATTCATCTATCATTTTCCATTTTCCTCTCCTATATTTGTCATTGGAAGATAAATCATTTAATGTAATAATGATAATGTACAGTTGAGACGTTTACAGACTATGATACTGGTGTAATCATCATCACCAGCTTATTGATTCCCCACTGCTGGGGCACAGGCCTTGCCTATGAATGGAATAGAGAGATTGAGCCATGAGTCACCACGCGGGCCCAGTGTGTATTAGTAGGTACAAACGACTGTAGATGCAGCCGGGATCAACGGCTTAGCGTGCCTTCCGAAGCACGGAGGAACTCGCGAGATAGTAAATTTTTGGTCACCCATCAAATGACCTACCACTGCGAAAGCTGCTTAACTTCATCGATCGCAGCCGAACGCGCTAACCACTTGCACCATCGAGCTCCTCACTGATGTAATATTAATAGTACGTGACCTAGTAAGTATCTTATTTTTTTGCACAAATATTATACGCTAATCAAATACTCTAGAAGCTTAAGTAAACAGGCAAACTAGAATGGAAAATAGACGATAGAGACGTCACACCGCTGATGATTTGCATGTTATTACAAAAAGTGCTGACAGGCGAATCAGCAACACTCCATTTGCTCTCGCAATCACGAAAGAACCCGGTTTCCACGACCCATTAGACAGAACCCCAATTTGAAGAGACTTTTACTCCAAAACGGAGGTGGTGCATTCATGAATCGCTCGTTTTCTATCTATCAGTTCATTTTAAATCATCGATGTTCCATTTTGGAAAGCTTTTTTATTTGTTGTGACTGTAAAATATTATTTTTTCGGAATTTCAGGTTCTATCAAATATTCTTATCGTGAATTGCCCAAGATCGATCTGAGTGGCGTGCATTTGGAGAGGCCTATGTTTAGCAGTGGACAAAGATAGGCTGTTGATGATGATGATGATTGATGAGTTGTACCAACTGACTTTAACTCGTGCCACCTTAGTCTTAGTTAAATTTAACTGTAACCTTAACTAGCTCTGTGGTGCAACTCACACTTAGTAACCTGTTTGACGAATATAGGAACCTACTTAAAGCCGGTTAGGCGTAAGAGATGAGGTCAAAAAATACCTCCTGAACTTAACTATAAATATAAAAAAAAACCTTATTTCTACAAAAGAACTGAGTTTAAGAAAAAAGAGAACGACGGGTTGCACTCCAGGAGTGCCGGCAGAAGTGAAAACTTAAATAATAACGAGCCATCAGCTGTCACCATCCATGGATGCGCGCGGCACGCTGTAACATAAACACACACGAACATTCGCGCAAGCGCCCTGCGCCGCCTCAACGAAACAGCAGTCGCAGGCATACATTTTCGCCGCGCCGTAGAAAGAGAGGGGGATACTTCCTCTCCTACGCCGCGCCGGCTGTCTACTCTCTATCCGTCTTACGAATTTTCGATCAGGTCACGTGTCCTGACGCGAGTTTAACATTTTTTACCCATTACAAAAAAGTGTACAACGCCGCTAAAGAAGTTTTCACTTCAAAATATCATACAAAAGCACAAGGTTTGAATCCAAGTCTAACTTTTTTATAGTAGATCGAAAGTCTTTAAGGAATGTAGTCTCCCAATAATTAAAGTCAAGACGACAAGAGTAAGCAGTTCTAAACTCCATCGATGGCTACTTTGTATAAAATCCATGGTATGTATCAGTAAAAGAAAGTAAGAAGAAAAATAATCTAGCGTATGACGTAAGTACCATGGCACAATCTATAGTAAAAAATAAAGTAAGTTACGTGGTTCCCATAAATGTACTATCGTAATAGTTTAGAAATTGTTTGCTGTTGCCCGACACTGAACTAATGCTAACAAAACAAAGTTTATTCAATCAATCGTCATCGATCACCTGTTTACGATGATAAGTTTCGGAATCTTTATGTAATGACGGATGCTTGCACTCCGGCTGCCCTACTAACAAAAACAAAAAAAGTGTGGTTTTATAAAACAAAAAAAAAAGTGCTATCTCGGCTGGGAATCGAACTCGAGACGCTTGCGTATCAGGCGAGCTTTCTGCCTATGCGCCACCGATGCTTGTTGGCAAGGTCCGTTTTTTTTAACAATTAATAATGTAATGCAATATGTTAAATATCAACGAAAACATTATTTTGTAGTCATGTAATAAAAGTTTCGCTTTAAAATTATCGGAAATAGTTCGCCTAGTTTTCTTACTAAAGTACTTTTCGAAAGTACTATGTGTTCACAGTTTTTATCCACTGTGACGTAGAATTAGCAGATAGAGTATTAATGTTTGTCTTTACCTTTCTATAACCCGTATTCAGGGTCAGAAAAACAGTCTGTTTAAATTAATTTCACTTCCGGACGCTTGGCGTACTAGCACCATGCAATACGCGCGTTGCTTTTTCTTGGGTTCCATCAGCAAGATCTGAAACAAACTTCCCTCAGTGGTTTTTATTTCAGCTATGATATGTGTCCACGGGCGGCAGTAACCATTTTACATCATGTAGACTGTCACCTAGTCTGCTGCATAAACATAAAAAAACAAAGATCGGAAAGCTTTTTTTTCTCGTTTAAAAAATGAAGCAGAAAGGATCTCATTACTGTTGTACTACTAAGCGGGTTGAGAAAGATATGGATATGGAAATCCATTTTGAACTCGCTGAGCGGGCAGCTATTTTTTCTTTTTTTTTTAAATTTCTATTCCGAGAAAGGGTCAGTGTGATTTTGTAGACTTTGCAATCTATTTTTTAACATTATACGGCTTGCTTTCTGATTTTTTTAAACAGGTACAAAAAGTAAACGGCGCGCTCATTATTTTAACTGAGTTTCTAATTTGTTTTCGAGACTGATTTGATTTGTTCTTACTCGAGACTTTCAGAATTAAAGGAACCTAAACAGTCATCTTTACCCGTGAAATCAAGAAACCAATATAATGCTCCCATGCATAATTTTAAGTAATTGTATTAACTTTAATAAAAGCACTATTTATTCCTCGAAAACCAACCAACCCAACCAACTTCGGTGTATTAAGGCTCTTGACTGCGACTCGGGCCTCAAACTACACTCTCATTGTTAATCGGTCAGTTTCTCCTCTCGGTGAACAATATACTATTACATCATTAATTTGTTACCAACCATTGACTGATTAAAAATTCACACCGCGAATATTCTATAAGCGCCGACATTATGACCTCTGCATGGCATAGTACGCAACCGACACGTCTTATATAAAAATGCTGCGTGTAGACGAACATGCTACTAACTGCTTTATAATTACTTACCTAAACACGACTTGCGTTCATTCGATATCCCCTTCTTTTAAATAATTTAATGGTTTCCTGTACTTCCGTTTACATTACTTAATTATAAGAACGCTCTAAAGCGTGTTATTAAGCGCATATATTTTAATATTTATTACACAATGACGCTATAAACCATTATAGAACCATTTTGATTATTATGAACCACGAATGATAAAAAAAATGTAACCGTTAATCTTAATGTTTAACTAAAAGAAAAAAAAATACCATTATGCAGGCAGTGCACATATTTATTAAATTTGACTAAATGAAATTTGAAAGTCTCTCCTTATCATTCCCTTTATGGAATGAAATACTGTTATATCATAGTAATATCCTATGATATACTGTCAAATTTACAAATAAGAAAAACCATATGAAGTACTAGCATTAAATAAGAAAAAATTAAGGCTAATCCATTAGCCATAATATACTATTCCACTTTAAGTTTTATTGACTTAATAAAATGTAAATATATTGAATTAATACCTGCAATCTCATTCAATATTACGAGTTGAACCTATAGGTATACACCATCGAAATCCTTGGTCCATGACACACTACAGTAACAATAAATTGAACTATTGAACAAATATATCAAATTCGACAGGTTTCATGATAAATCATGTTACTGTTCGCCGGTAAAAAGAGGAAAATATATTTATTATTTTTATTTCGTGGGTCAAGGACTATTGAGTCGGTTTTTCATAGTACCCACCTGTAATGAATGAGATATGAATGCCTACCTGAAAAGGTCAAAAGACTGAATAGAGCCGCACACAGTCGCAGATCGTTGCCAGGGATCTTTTACGTTAAATGCATTAAAGTTGTTAACATTTTGATCCCTAATCCTTTTCTACATTTTAGGTTTTTTTAATCAAATAAACTTGTGAAAAGCTTTTCCGTTGAAAGGCTCTAATCGGAATAATCTTGGGTGAGATGAAAAATTTATGCAAGCAGCAGACAGAAATTTACATGATTTAATGTTAAACAGACAAACATATTAAAAATAAAAAAGAAAAAAATAACGGGACCATCGTTTATTGTGAGATAGAAATTCAAATATTACGAATTCTGGTAACGCTCCCCTATGACATTATAAAAAAATCATCGCGACAAAATGAAACACGGCTGGATCGGGGCGTAGTTTAGAGAAAATGATACAAACAAACAAAAGAACCAAGGAAAATATTGAACGAGATTTCCTCGGGGGATTGAAGTCTCCTCCACTAAAATTGGATGGTAAACTGAAGACACAATGGGTTTTATTCTTTTTACCTTCGCTGCGGACGCACGTAAAAAATCCTTTTTCATCGCATGACCATCAATCAAGATTTATTTGTGTAATTTGCTTTTGAAAGCGTAAAGCATATTCTGTTTTCATATTTTACCTGCACGTTTTATGGCGTTATAGAAAATTGCCTCGTGGAATTTCCTTTGAAACGTCCGAGGTGGTGTATCTACTTTGTTAACGGCTATTGTGATTATTAAAAGGTTTTTTATTACGAAAGTTGTAATTATTTTGTGAACATAATCCTTTATACTAAAGTTTGGCCGCGTCGGACGTGTTGCTCTTTGACTAAAGTACAATAGGCTTTTAACTCTATGGTGATAAGAGTTCTGAACTGAAATAAAAAAAATGGCTCGTGTCATTTAGCATTATTATTTTACAGTTTATTTTGATTTGTTTATTTCAGATTATTTTTTATTTATGTTTTTGAAATAAGTTTGCGTTTTCATCAAAACTAATGGCACAAGATATCAAAAAAGTATCACCGGTTATTCACGGAAAAGTGTCGTCATCCACTATGGAAAAAGGAAAAGTTACCTATTGTACGGACCTTGAAAAATCTGTTATAATGAGCAATTTCGAGAGACGTGGTTGGACGCAAGTAGGTCCCGAGGACGAGTGGAATTTTTACTGGTCCTTCACCACAAACTGCCGGAATATCTTCAGCATCGAGAGCGGATATAGAATGAACGATAATCAGATGATAAATCACTTCCCGAACCACTATGAGCTGTCTCGTAAAGATTTATTGGTGAAAAACATCAAGAGATATAGGAAGGAACTGGAAAAGGATGGCAATCCCTTGGCGGAAAAAGTTGAGGTTTCACTTCCTAACGGTCAAGTAGTGACACGTTATTTACATCTGGATTTTATTCCAGTGACCTACGTGTTGCCTGCTGACTATAACATGTTCGTTGAGGAGTACCGAAAATCACCACAAAGCACTTGGATAATGAAGCCGTGTGGAAAATCTCAGGGCGCTGGAATTTTTTTAATAAACAAACTGTCGAAACTGAAGAAATGGTCACGCGAAGCAAAAACTCCCCTCCATCCGCAACTGAGCAGTAAAGAAAGTTACGTGATATCGCGTTACATCGACAACCCGCTTTTGATAGGAGGCAAAAAATTTGATCTGCGCTTGTACATTCTAGTTACGTCGTTTAGGCCTTTGAAGGCGTATTTATTCCAACATGGCTTTTGTAGATTCTGTACTGTGAAATACGATACGAGTGTAACAGAGTTGGATAACATGTATGTACACTTGACAAACGTAAGCGTACAAAAGCACGGTGGAGACTACAACAGCTTGCACGGAGGCAAAATGAGTATACAGAATTTCCGATTGTATTTAGAGGGGACGCGCGGACGTTCGGTGACTGAAAAATTGTTCGCAGAAATGCACTGGCTGATTGTGCATTCTTTGAAGGCTGTGGCCCCCGTGATGGCTAACGACAGGCATTGTTTCGAATGCTACGGTTACGATATAATAATTGATAATACTCTGAAGCCGTGGTTGGTTGAAGTTAATGCGTCACCGTCTTTGATATCAACAACGCACAGTGATAGGATACTAAAATATAAATTAATAGATAACATCGTTTCAGTCGTTGTGCCACCGGATGGTATACCTGACGCGAGGTGGAATAAGATACCATCGGCAGATGCATTGGGTGATTTTAAATTGCTCATTGATGAAGAACTAATGGAAAGAGAAGATGCGAATTCGCGTTACAATAAATTTCACCGCTTTAGACAATAAATAATTATGCAAATCAAATGATATTTTTTAGGATGTTTAGTTGAATCGATTAATTTCACATATTTTGTTTTTACTATAAACTAAAAGTAAATTATATAATAATCATATTAACGTATTTTGTTTTTACTTTATATCTGTATTTATTTTCTTATATAAAAGGCAACATTACTGACTGGTTGTATCAACACACAGCTCAAACCATTGAACGGATCACGCTGAAATTGGCAACTACTCGTAGATAGTTAAAATAATATAGGTATTGGTTAAGAAAGAATTTTTAAAATTTACCCACAATAGATTAAAATAGTAGTATGAAGTGGAAATTTCTACAATTTTAAAAAAAAGATCTGCAAATCATTAAATGAGCAACTAAGGTTAGCAATATAAATTGTGAGAATATTAAAACAAAAAAAAAAACTACTGAAACTTATCTTACTGGAGCTTAATAGATCATATTATGGCGCTAATTACAGGATTATTAAATAGAATAATATTGTGATTTGAATACTTTAATATTTATTTGATAAGTAGGAAAATCTTAGGTAAAGTTAGGTAGAAATAAGAGTCACTTGATTTTATGTCGTACATAAGCTTTACTTTCCTTTTGAAGATCAATGTCTTCCCTATACATAATATCTTCATCAATAAGCACTTGAAAATCTCCCAAAGCCTCTGCCATTGGAGTTTTGTTCCACCGAGTATCTGGAATACCATCCGGAGGTAAAACCACTGACAATAGATTATCTATTAATTTATTTTTCATAATTCTATCTTTCACTGACGTAGCTGTCATCGAAGGAGACGCGTTAACCTCAATAAGCCATGGCTTTAGATTATCGTCGATAATTATATCATAGCCGTAACACTCGAAACAGTGTCGATCATTGACTATAATTTGTGCAACAGCTTTCAAAGAATGAATAATCAACCATTGTATTTCTTCAAAAAGCTGCCGGGTTACAGCTCCACCCCGCGTCCCTTCCAGGTAAAGCTTTAAATTGTTAATATCCAACTTCCCGCCGTGATGACTGTTATAATCCTCGCCGTGTTTTTGCACGCTTACATTCGTCAAGTGCACATACATGTTATCGAGCTCGGTTACGCTCGTGTCGTATTTCATAGTGCAAAATCTACAAAACCCTTGTCGAAACATGTAAGCCTTTAAAGGTCGGAATGAAGTAACAAGGACGTAAATCCTCAAATCGAATTTCTTTCCTCCGATCAAAAGGGGATTATCAATGTATCGCGATATAACGTACGTGTCTCTACTGGTGAGTTGATGTTGCAAATATTTTTTCGATTCGCGAGACCATTTCTTAAGTTTCGACAGCTTGTTTATAAGAAAAATGCCGGCCCCTTGGGATTTTCCGCAAGGTTTCAGGATCCAAGTGCTCTGTGGAAATCTCCGGAACTCCTCAACGAACATATTGTAATCTGACGGCAACACGTAAGTCACAGGTATAAAATTGAGATACAAATATTGGTTAATAGTTTGTCCATTCGGTAGTTTGAATTCTGTTCTCTTCGCGAGTGGGTTGCATTCTTTTTCCAGTTCTTTCCTGTACCGTTTAATGTTTCGGACTAACAAGTCTTTGCGAACTAACTCGTAATGATTAGGAAAATGGTTGATCAATTGATTATCGTTGAGACGGCTACCGTTGTCCATGTTAAATATATTGCGACAGTTGATTGAGTTGGACCAATATATGTTCCAATTGTTATTCGGCGTCACTTGTTCCCAGCCCCTTCTCACAAAGTTATTTATCACAATTGAGTTATCGAAGTCTGTACAGAAATTTATATGTCTATTTTCCGACCGCGAGCGCTGAACTCGAGTAATCTTTATAGACTTTTTATTTAAATAAACTGACATTTCTGAGAAGTAAAGCAATTTTTTTTGTGAAGTCACTTTGAAAATAACATGAAAATCTTATCGGTGATTTATCATAGCCAACTTAATTGACATTTGTGTCCCATGTCATGTCACTCTGATTTGAAGTTGACATGGTCAAACGCTCGTAAAACGCAAAACCTTTTTAGAATTTAATAACCAAGTTTGGCTTTTTAGCCTTGCGTTGAAACACTTGCATTGCTTTGTAAAGATAATTTCGTGCTCTCCGTATCAGAAAGGCAATCAAGTAAAATGCCCTCCAGGGATAAATTATGTTAAAGTAAAATGACCTACTAGTTAAACGTCTGAAATGTATGAACGGCATATTGCTTACAATGACTTACCTAAAGACCCTGACTATTATGTACATTTAAGTGCACTATATATAAAATCATTTATTTTACAGGTGTATGTAAGTACGTATATATATATGCAAGTTATCACGGACCTGAAAAAAGACGGAAGTAACCTCGTCTAATTGTGAGTGAAGAATGCCAATGGCCCAAGTAAGAATGCAAAGTGAACGCCCGCTTACCGCGTGTGCGTGATTTCAGGGTTGTCGGGTAAATCATCAATTTCCCTACTTTTTCAATGTCGCAAACTAAAACATTGTAAATATTATGTAATCAAATATATATTATAATAACGGGATATTTACCACGTGTTTAACTCGTTGTGAGTTTCAATATTTCAGCAATTTAAACGGTTGCACTTCAGAAACATGATGTTGGCCTATCAAATTCATTTTTATGTACACAGAGATAGAAAAGCAAACACTTGTTACGTATAAAGAAATTTATTGTTTACATATAAATATGCGTAGTGCGATCAGGGCTAATTGGGACCTTGATATTAATTTTTTTTTTATTTTTTTTATAGGAAGGAACTACCACACATGCTAATGGTTATTGCATCCACCCCGACAGCGGAACACGCAGGTTTGAGTCCTGTCTGAAACGCTGTTTTAGTTGTTTTTTTTTCTAGAAAAATATTCTACAGCTTTTTAATCGCGCAGATTGCGGACGGAACCAAACAACGTAGATCCTAACTGTAGTCATACAATCTACATTATCAAAATGTTCACTGCACACCGTACTGGTAGATGATGGGTTCCAGTTGTTTTCTCCTTCGCAGTTTCGAATAGTTAAATTATTCATAACAAGGAGGTAAGAGTAATTTTATATGAATAATATGGGTTCTGTTCTTTTCCGTTTGGAATACGGAACCCTAAAAAGTTACGAAATCTTGTCGTACCGAGTCACAAATGCAGGAAATACAAATTTCTCCACTTTTAGGAAAATTTTCCCGTAAAAAGGTAGCCACACAGTTGTATTTTTTGTTTTGAATTTTCATCACACTAAATAAAACATAATTTAAAAAAAATATCACGATTCGTCATTACTTACGCATGGTAGATGATTCCTTCTAACTTTTAAGTTTACTCGTGTGGTTTTTACATGATTTCATCATACAAACCGGCATATTTTAAATTTTTTGTCGGAGCAATTGAACGTGTGACTGGCGCTGTCACGCGGAGTCAAATGGCAGCGGGTTGTTGGACCTGGTGCATTAGAATGAGTGTAGGTAGTGTACAACAAACGACATTGTAGGACCTTGCATCACATCATCACATCATTTTAGTTTAATGTTACGTCCGTCTTTTTTCAGGTCCGTGACCAGTTATATATATGTATAACTAGTCTGGCCATAAATACTGGAACATGAAAACTTTTATTCAAGTTTTTAAGTATTCTAAATTTGCAACACGTATATTATTTAAAAAAAACATAGTGTGACCGCACCGAAATCTGCCAATACTCGAATGAGCTAACTCCCATATCATCATGTTTTGTCTAATCAGTGTTCATCTGAACATAGTGACAGTTTGACGTTGGTGATTACAATACCGCAGGTATTGTTTGCAAGAAAAGCGTATTATAATAACTTCGTGTGCCTTTGAAAAGTGCACTAACAATTCGAAAAATACAAATAAAGCTAATGGTGTAACATTTCACTCTAGATTTCATTATTTTCTTTTAATTTTCTCATTTTCTTTCGTTGTCATAAATATTGAAATCTGATCGGACAGCGCATGACAGAGAAAGTAGTGTTGGAAAATATTGCAAGACAAAAAGAGAACACTATCCTCTCGGTACCGCGCAGTGCGTTTTGACATTTGTCCGCCCATAAAGTTTCATAAAAAATGTTCTAAATTCGAAAGAACTGTTCTTCATTTTCATTTTAGTGACGAGCACTTCTCTTAACACTTCAGTCCTGTAATTTAACGAATCGGTAATCCTAGGGCATCATCCATCCATCATCCATCCATCAGCCTTTTTCCGTCCACTGCAGGACATAGGCCTCCCCCATAGAACGCCACAATGCGCGGTCCTGCGCTATCCGCATCCAGCGGCTCCCAGCACATTTGACGATGTCGTCAGTCCACCGTGTTGGGGGCCGCCCCACGCTGCGTCGTCCGGTACGTGGTCGCCACTCGAGGACCTTTCTTACCCAACGGTTGTCAGGTCCTCGAGCGATGTGGCCTGCCCATTGCCACTTCAGCGTGCTAACTCTTCGGGCTATGTCGTACACACCGGTCCTTCTACGGATCTCCGTATTCCGGATCTTATCACGTAGGGAAACACCGAGCATAGCCCTCTCCATAGCACGCTGCGCGACTTTGAGTTTTGTCATGAGGCCGACATTCAGAGACCACGTCTCAGTCCCATAAGTCATCACTGGTAACACACACTGGTCATAGACCTTTCTTTTCAGGCACTGGGGAATTTTGGCCGTGAGGATATGCCTAAGCTTCCCGAACGCTGCCCATCCGAGTTGGATTCGTCGGTTGACCTCTTTCTCGAAGTTGGATTTGCCCAACTGGACTGTTTGTCCTAGGTAGACGTAATGATCGACAACTTCGAGAATCGCATTCCCAACAGATACTGGTGCTGGAGTGACATGGACATTGAACATGACCTTGGTTTTATCCATGTTCATCCTTAAACCAACCCGTTGGGAAACTCTGCTGAGGTCATTGAGCATTGTGCCAAGGTCCTCCAGGATCCTAGGGCATATCATTAAAATTTTACAAAATTTCGTACCGCCCAAAAGTCGATGAATGTGGTTATATTAATTTATATTTATTAAACTAATGATTTTGCAGCTGCAACAAAATAAATACAAAAAAGTGAAAAGTTTATAAGGATAATATTCCTATATAGAGAAAATGAGATATTTACAACTTTTACTGTATTATCATAGTGTATTAGCGAAATTTAAAATCCGGTTTATTGATTGCCAGGGGTGCCATGCATTTCCCCCCCTTGTAGTTCTGTCCTGCAAAGAGGGGGGCGGCGGAGGGAGCTACACGGGCACGCCCAAGTAGCCCTCCGCAGCGGACGGGGGGCGGTACGCTGGGCACTAGGCCCCGTACTCAGCCCCCACGCGCGGGCCTACCCGCGCACGTCTGCGGGGTCTCCGTGATACCCCGGGAGACCACTGCCGTGGAGCCCCGGCTAGACCGGGGGGCTGCTAGGTGCGGAGATGCAGAAGAATCCCTAAACGGGGATCCCGCAGCTCCGTGCTAAGCAGCTTAGAGAGTATTCGCAGGACTTTTTTAGCGGATATTTTACCGTAAAGCGCCCGTAAGAGTTGTGAGGTCCTTGGTGGGCAGCCACTGGGGGGTTCGTAAGACTTGCGGGAGCCAGGTGTGAGGTCCGTTCGGCGGTGTGCCTCTTAAAGGCGCCGTCGTCTGTAAATAGATTTTTTACCTGCGTATTAATAAAGGGTTGCCATGCATTTGCCTAATAACTATTCTCCAAACACAGACATCCCTGAATCTCTCAGTACCCTATGACTTCTTTAAAAATTAGGCATAGTTCTATATTTTTGGAAAATTAAACCAAATGGAGTAACATTTATGTGATAATGAAATGAAAACTGCGATATTGATACTTCAGTATAGTGTTGAAGAAATATATCCATCGTCTCCTTACTAAAATATCGGCTTGTATTGCAACTTGTCTTGATTACATTATTTTCTTTAAATTACAATATCACTCTCTAAATTCTATCTTCTATCTATATTGTATTGTGATTTTTCCTATATTTTTATAGTTATTCTGCTATTCGGGGCGGAGAAGATACCAAAAAATTGAGTTATAAGTGTTCCAACTAACACGACTTTGTTTTATATGTAGATTATCTGAGTAACTTATTGTTTTTTTTGTGTTTGTTTTATTTCACTTTTGAAGTGAAAATTGTAATGTGTCAAAATGGCCATCATCATAACGTCATTTCAAAATATAGCCACAGTTTTTCGGTGTCAGGGCATATCTAACGATTCAAATCTTTGGGACTGGGTATATATATATATATATATAATAAGTATATGTAGAACGTACTCCACATACAACTAATTTACTATTAGTCCAGATCCAGATGAAAACTCTTTTGTTTTCTTTATTCAGATTTCGGTTACGAAAATATTCAAAATGGATACATTGTATCGAACTTGACGAAAATTAAAGTAAATGGGAATTAGAAAAAATTAATGAATACGCAGAAAAAAATAGAAGAAATGAAAGAATGTGAATAATGGATACGCAGTTTCAGATATCTCATGAATGAAAACAGAAGTATCATAGATAATAAAGATAAAAAAAAGCATTTTAGACAAGGATATTTAATACCCTTGATTATAGAGGTATGGGATAGAGTTTTTAAGCGCAGCGAGATTCATCGTCCTAAGTTTATAATATAGTTGATTATAGAGCCAAATAGTTCTATCGTCAAATGGAGTTTTCAAATATCATCAATGTTTAGTATTTCCTATGTATTAAAACGGTGTGGCTTTATGAAACCACGATGCAAATGAAACTTTTAAAATCATCAATAAAAAAGAATTCTTTCTCGTCTGGGATTCGAAGCCGGGCCGCCCACGTATTAGGCGGGCTTTCTACTACTATACCGCCGATGCTTGTTCATAAGATCTGATTTTTAACTACAATTAATAGGTAATGTAATGCGACATGCTAAATATGAACAAAAAA